TGGGGATGACACAAAGAAGGATCCTTGATTAAAGGAGAACTTGTAGATCCAGATTTCACATATCATTTCCAGCTTCATTGAGGTATAAAGCTTGGAACTTGCTCCTTGTATGCTTAGATCTAGTCTTTATGAAGTTTTGGTCCCTTTTTGGTCCTATGATGAGATCTAGTGGGTTTCTTCAACTACAGAAGTTAGGAGTTGATTCTCTTGATGTTTCTGAGGTCCCTAGTCCATAAAGTTAGCATCTTGATGGTTGTGGATCAACCATGCATGTGTGTAGGCCCATTTGGTGAAAGTAGAATGCTAAATGTAGGGTTTGGGTTCCTTTAAACCACGCAAAGGCTCCAAGTTCAAGACTTTATGGATTAAGACGTTCCACAAGGCTTAGATCTAAAGTTTGGATGTTTGGTTGCAAGTACTAAGCACTTAATGGAAAAAGTGCTTAATGGGCGCGTACGCTGTGTATATGCTGCCGAGTCCTTGATCTAACACGCGACCTAGTACATTGGGCGTACGTCTGGTACGCACAGCGTACCGGGCCTGGTCTTTGGGCTTTGCGTTTTGGGCCGTTTTTAGGCTATTGGGGGTTGTGGGCCTTGTTAGGCCACTAACCTTTCCGACTTTAGGCCATTGTTAGGCTTTGGGCCTTCGTGGATTTGGGCCCGTTATAGGCTTTGGTCATCATTTAGGATTTTGAGCCATATTGGGCTTTTGGAGCCATTGGATTGGGCCTCGATTATTGGGCCAAGAAAGGAAGGGGTAAAATGGTCTTTTATCCTAATGGACAAATGAAATAGATTCATAGTTATGGTTTATGGCCTAATTATTAATTAGGGTTTTATTTGATTAATTAGCATGAGGACTTTCTGGATCAGGAGTCCGAGCATTTATCTAATTGTCAGCAGTTTGAGGTGAGTCTCCTCATTGTGCTTGGCGGGTCGAAGGCACCAATGCCGACTCATGATTTATTATGATTAGGATGCTAGTTGTCTGTGTGACTCTTGCATATGTAGCATGTGACATGTATACCGAGCGGGGTCCGATGCTAGATGAGGCCTGATGGGTGTATTGTATGCTATTTACCTTAGTGATTCTTGCATGTGTTTATGTGTCTGTATGTTGATATGTTCTGAACGGGGCCCGACGTATGTTGATATGTATGGTGTAGGGTGTTTTGGGGAACTCACTATGCTTTATGCTTATGGTTTTCAGTTTATGTTTCAGGTACTTACAGATCAAAGGGGAAGAGCTCGGGATGATCACATCGCACACACCACGACTTCCGTTTATTTGACTCTGATGTATTGAGATGATTGATTTATATACTCTGATTTTCTTTCATGGTTTTATGAACACATTTTGGATGATGGTTTTATTATTATTAATATGAAATTTTTGGTCTTAAATTTTGGGACGTTACAAGTTGATTTCTGAGTACTTGTCAAAGCTAATGGGAGCATAATTGTTATGTTGGTATTGCATGTTGACAATACTATTCATAGGGAACAATGTCTCTAGTTTGCAAGTTGCAAAAGTTGGGAACTGTTTCGGTATAGTGGACTTAAGGCAGATGACCCTCATACTTCGTTACGAATCTAATGGTCTAGATTGTATAGTTTAATAAAACTTAGTCAATGGCATATATGAATAACATGTTGAAATGTTTTGATATTGGATATTATATATATGGAAATATTATAGCAATGAATTGAACAAATATTGGACCCTCGTAATATTGAGTCGAGTCCCATATGCTTCAGATATAGGATCGATTACATATGCCATAGTATTCGATTATTATATTTTTCAAATGCTTTTAGCATTGTGTGAAAATGATTAGAATTTCATGTGACTAGAGTTATTAAACAAACTGTCAAGAACATTCTGAGGTTTACCAAAGATTGGTTGCTTGTGGACAGTTGGAAGTATGATATTGTTTGGAAAGGACCATAGTGACACGTTTTGGATTGAGATAAGTCTTGGTCAGAATTGATGGTTATATGAGAATATGGAAATGTTTCCATAATGGGAGATGTCTGTAAAATCTATATGTGAGTTGGAAACTTTAATGCAAAAGAAGTGTTCAAGGAGTGTATCTTGAATTTGAGACTTCAAAACCATGTAATTGTTTCTAGCAACAAGTTCTAGTGGAACATTCTGTAATGTCGAAGGCTCAGTCTCGGTGACTTAAGAACATTGGCATCACAGAAAGACAATGCATGTATCCATAGCGATAAGAATTTGGAATTGTAAAATGAGCATCATTGGAGTAATGTCCAATCGATATGTTCACAAAGATGTACTACATGTGCGAACTATCTCGAAGGGATTGGTTTTGGTAGACAAGTTTGAAAAAGCACGGTTCAAGATGAAGCGAGAGAATGGATGATTGAGATTACTAGAGGCAATGCGTATGATGGAAAGGCGAACAATTCTCCCTCTTCAACATAACTTCGTTCATGTTTTTCGAGTTTTTGCTTTGTGGTTATCGGTTCTTCCATTGTTGTTGGAATGAACAATAACTACATTAATTCATAGGGTTCTAAGCTGCAACTTATAGCCATTTGATTACGTAAAAACCTTTATGGACATGAGTTATTATGTGTAGTTATCGTTCAAGAATATGTAATCTTCGGGTTGGTTGTAATTTTGCTTCTCGTCTTTTAATTTATCCGATAACGAGACGATATTCTTCTACATTTCTTATAATAAGGTCTAGTAGCGAAAGATCAATTTGATTTCTAGAAGAAACTTGGCGATTAAGTAATAATAATTAGATTTATTATTTGCGACGTCTTGACCTTTAAATCTCAATACTAATCGCGAATGATCAATATGATTTCTATACGAAACTTGGTAATCAAGTAATGATAATTGGATTTATTATTTGTGATGTCTTGACGTTTAAGTCTCAACATTAAACAATGAGCTTATTTGCGTTGATTATAACGATTGGATATATAGTTATCAATATTAATTATTAAAACGTTTGTGTGATATTTTGGAATTCTGATAAATAATTTACAACGTTAATTATCATATTGTTCCATTATCTTGTCTGGGATACAAGATAATCTTAGTCTTGATTTTCTTTCCGGCTATTCATTCAAATTGATTGTGAGAAATGGGTTTATTGAGATGCAAGTGGAAGACTCAATGAAAGGTTTTTGGATTTCATTTAATCAAAGTCCAAAGAGGGTGCAATTGGAAGATTCAATGAAAGGTTTTTGGATTTCATTTAATCAAAGTCCAAAGAGGGTGCAATTGGAAGTATGTTATTTAGGTGCGGTTTGTTTTTCCTATAAAAACACTTCTAACCATTTATTGTTGCGCCGCGCAACACATGCGCGACACTTGGCCCTTTGCAGCTGTTTGTTTTTAAGAAGACTTTTGACTTAAAAACTGTTGCACGTGTGCTGCGTGGCGCAATACTTGACCCTCTGCTTCAAACCTCTTCATACCTTACTTTAACTTATTGCAGCAGTCTGCAGAGGTTAAAAAACAAACAAACTTTTTATTACATGTTGATGCCGTTTGGTTCCCCTCTTCTGCTATAAAGGATTGTAGAGGAGGTCTGCAGACTTCAGACATTTTCGCTTCGAAAAAACGAATACCGTTTCAAAAAAATAAAAGTGTAATTGGGACTACACCTCCTAGATTGATTAATTTGTGTTATATGTGTACACAGTAAAAAAACGGTTTTGAAATAGAGGCGAATACAATAATCATATATTTGGCCACAAACAGCATGTTAACCAGCTAAACATAAGATAGTTGTAATAATATTTTATGAACAAATTTAATGATTATACAAATAAATAAACGACTAAATATATACATGGTCGTTATCATTGTATGTCGTATAAGGGATAATGACTTAAAAGGGTAATATATTTTTCGATTTGTACACATTTGGTCACTGAGTTTTTTTCGTCCACATTTACCCCTTCAACTTGTTAAACTGTACACATTTAGTCCTTATGACCGGCTACTTCAAGTTAGCCGGTAAAAATGAGTTAATAGGGTAATATATTTCTTATTTTGTACACATTTAGTCCTTAATATTTTTTTTGTTGCAAAATAAGTCATTTTTGTTTTTGTACTCATTCAGTACTTATGAATGATTCCTTTTAAGTTTTTCTCACGACATCTTACGTGAGATAGCCATATGGTGGTGGGATAGGTTGGGCGGTCGTGCTATATGCTGTAGGCCAAGATAGCTGGTGTGGGCCGGTTGTAAGCCGTAGGCACGAAGAACGGTTGGGTTAAGGTGGCAGACCAATAAACCCTGGGTATTCCAGTCTGATGACTGATTGGATCTGTTGCATGTTGGCATTCCAGTTCGATGATTGATTGGGCCAATGTATTCCATTATGATGAGTGTGGGCCCGTTATGCATGATAATACGTTTGTTGTATCGTGTATTTTAGGGGAAACTCGTTAAACTTTGTGTTTACCCAGTTGTTTATGTTTTCAGGTTCTATCGTTGATCGTGGGAAGACGAAGACAGGACTGTACACACTCATCAATAGTATTGAGGATTTCGTGTTTCTAATATTACTCTGATTTTTGATCAATGTATTTCGTGTTTAAATCATTATCCCGTCGTATGAAGACGGTCATTTTATTAAATAAACCATATAGTTTTTGTATTTTTTAAGTATCCCTTTATTATTATTATTATTTATTTTTATTTTTTTGAAACGGCAAAGTATCATATTCCTAATCTAATCCTAAATACCACTTATGTCTCCTATTGAGACTTGAACTCATGACCTCTCATTTGAGAGAGTCACTCCTTACCGGGCCAAAGACCCTTTGGTAAGTATCCATTTAATTGATCATAAAATTTCAAATATGGAGACAGTAAATGTTACCAGATAAAATAACAAAGAACATATTCAACCATCAGGAACAACCAACAGAAGGAACATGAAATTAAACAAGTATTAATTATTCATTAAAGGAAAACCGAAGAGCCTGAAATTAAACAAGCATAATCAATCATCACTAACCTTCGGCAGCGGAATCATATAGTCAACCACGAGCTCGGTCTCTACTGAATCCTTCACTTTCTCTTTAATCGAGTTCACAATCCCTGCATCTGAATCGAACGCTTCCAAGTAGGAAAACCCAGAAAAAACAACGATCGAAGAGATCGAGTACCCCTTCGCCATAGCATGGAAATTCTCACCAAAACTTACTTGTTCAATCGCTTTAAACTGATTTTTAATTCCTTCCATCATTTCGAAAAACTTACTTTTCTCATTCTCCAACAAATCCTCCTTCAACTTCAACAACGTAACTCTCATCACTGATCCTGGCTTCGGAGCCTCATGACTGATATTGTTAGATATCCAGTCAACAATCATTATGTCATCAATTATCGGATGTATATTCTCAGAGACCATGCGCAAGTGTTCGGGATGAGTGTAGTAGACCTGGAGATTGTCGTTTGATGTGAAACGGGTATGCATGATGTGACTGAAGGTGAGTGAATCTGAATCCGATCGAGATCTGCTGAGGAGTTCTCCGGCACTGACATGGATTGAGAGGTCGAGCGAAGCCATCCTGTTGAGTCCATCAATCATGGCCGCGACTTTGGTAGGGTCAACATCGGGTTTGACATTGAAGAGAACGATGTGTTCGATGATTTGGTCTTGTGTGGACATTCTGATCGGAGTCTAGTAGCTGCAGTGGTGGGGGAGAGGGCGCCGGCGAAGGAGAAAGAGTGATGCAACAATTAGATGGCATAGTATACAGCAACCGACTTGCATGTTTTATAACCAAATTAATGAAATTTTATTAATTCTAATTTGTTGCTAAAATTTTGTACGTGTCATAACCAATACTTGCGCAAGAAATTGATTTTTTTTTTTTTTTTTTCTGGTTGTAATTTTTCAAAAACACCACCACTATACAATTCTTATGCAACCATCTAAATCTAAATCACTAGTAAATGGAAACCTTTGAAAATTTGCAAAAAAACCTCTTGACTTTATAATTGTTTTATGTTTTTATCCTAAATATTTTTCTCTCATATTATATGTATTTACGTAGAAAAAACATATTTATACAAGGAAAAAAGTTTAACTCGTATAAATATGTTTTTTTAGAAATATAAACACATATATATGTTTGTTAGAAATACATGATATATTTTTTAGAAGTATAGATATACATTTTTACGTATCTGTAAGTATATCCCATATATCAATCAAAAACGTGTTTATATGGAAAAAAAAATATTTTCGTAAAAAAAGAATCTTAAAAGAACGTGTATATACAAATGGTGCATATGATCCATGTCGATGATGATGTAATTTTATATTTTTAGAAGTATAACTACACTTTTTTCATATAATCACGTCTTTGATTTGATATATTTTTGGATATATAAAAATATGTATCTATATGTTTAAAATACAATTAATATTATTAAAAAAAGTGTTTATATTTCTAAAAATCTTAAAACTACGTATTTATTATTTCAAAAAAACATATTTATATAATGTTTAGTTAAGCCTTTTGTCGTGTACAAATACGTTTTTTCTTTATTAATAAGTATAATATGTAAAAAAAAACATATTTAAGTAAAAGCATAAAAAATTGTAATTTATTTTATTAGAACAAGAAAGGTTCGAGCATTAAATATCATCATTGATGTCGATTGATTTACATAAAATTTCTACATGTTTGATTTTAGGGTTTGCATCTAAGTTTGATTTACAAGGTGAAACTAGTGGTGATGGAAGGTATTTGATTTTAGGGTTTGCATCTAAGTTTGATTTACAAGGTGAAACTAATGGTGATGGAAGGTGTGATTTTAGGGTTTGCATCTAAGTTTGATTTACAAGGAAAACTATTGGTGATGGAAGGTACATCGCGGTGGAAATGATGGTAGGTATAGGTGGTGTTGGTGGTTAATGAGGATGTGGGACCCACTCATTTATAATATAAAGTTTATTTTCTAAATTAATAATTAAAAAACAAATAATTAATTAATTAATTAAATGCAATAAAAACTTATTAATTGGATTATCCGAATTAAAAAAAATGAGATTAGGACAAACACGATAGTTTACCCAAATCACAAAGACAATTAATGTAATTTAATATACTTAATATGATATTTATAAATTTATAAGTACACTTAAAAGTTGTCCTTTATTTTAGCATATGTGAAGATATAAAATATTTTGAGAAATAGAAAGATAAGTAATTACATATTATAGCTACTTTAATAAAGTTGTATAATAATAATAAAAAAACTTAAAATTTATTACAAAATATTGTATATGTTTCTTGATGCTTTATTTTACCGTATGTAGAGGCGTCATTTTGATTTTGACGGTCATTTAAATAAAAATGAGGTCTTAAATGTAACTTTTATATATATATATATATATATATATATATATATATATATATATATATATATATATATATAAAAGGAAAATTAATTAATACTACGAAAAGTTAATAAATGTTATAAAAACAATAAAACTAAAACAACGATAATATAATATATAATCGTTTATAGTAACATGAACCGCAAGGCTCTCCTAAAGATTTTGGAAGTAAAGTTAGTCACCAACTTTTCATAATAAATAATCTCCAATATAATTCTCAAAAATTATCATTGTCAATCCATTACTACTCTCCAAATGGTATCTAGCCTAGTGGTATCAAGTGTTTCACTCACTCATTGAGATCGAGAGATCATGTCAAGTCCAAGACATAAGTGAAATTATGAGTAGTTTAGAAATATATTAGATTTTTCGTTTGAAAAAAACAATCTAGATATTTTTAAACAATTATATATATATATATATATATATATATATATATATATATATATATATAGTAAAAAAATGGGTCTTTTTATGACGTGACCCTGTGCAGTTACCCACGTTGCATACTCTTCAAAGACACCCCTAAATGAATTGTTGAAATTAAAAAAATTGTGTTATACATATTTATTTTGGTCATTTTTTGTGCTACGATTAGAGATGGATGATTAGGATGGGCATGGGGGAGTTGAGAGGGGGCAAAGTGGGAAGCCGCACATGGCTCAAATTTTTTTATTATATATTTTTATTTAAAAATAACATCTTATAATAACGACAATGACCCTTTTTTTCTTATTCGTTCTGGGCCTTTGAGGATATTTAATTCCTCAGGACCGGCCCTGGAGATGAGATTAGATAATGTGAATCTGTGTCATTAAAATGATTGATTGAAAGACGACTTCACATAGAGTTCCATATTTGTTTAGCACCTACCTACCCATATGTTTTACCACATTAAATTTTTATGCATACAAGGTAATTGGACAAATCATGTCAATGATCCATGTGATTTACCAAAACTACATTTATAGAAGCCCCTTATGTGTTTTGGTTTCTATGCTATGATTTTCTTGTCCCTATCGTATTTTTGGCCAACTTCATCCTAATTTAGCCGTTAGTCGACCCACTGTAAAGTCCCGAAAACCATGAAATAATTTTTTTAGATCAATAAATTGTTAATACATATCCTTCCCATAAAAACAAGGTAACCAAAATTTAGCAAAACATTGTTAAATCAGAGTAATTCACAGAATGCGGAAACATGTGGTGTGTGCTCTTCAAACATCCCAAACTCTTCCTTTTGAAAACCAAAGTACCTATAACATAATAAACTGAAAATCGTAAGCACAAAGCTTAGTGAGTTCCCCAAAATACCAAATAACATACAACCACAACATATCATGCAACATACATATAGTTGTCATGGGCTTCCCCCCTGGTCTGATATTCAAGTGCCATGAGCTCCCTCCATGGTCTTCCATGCAAGTATCACAAAGACAACTAGCATCCCACATAATAAGTAATGGGCCAACATTGGTGCCTTCGACCCATTGATATAGTGAAAAAACTCACCTTGGACAGCTGTATTCCACAGATACTCTCTGACTGCAGATCAGCTAAAATCCCCACACTATTAAATAAATACCAAACAATTTGTTGGGAATAAAACCCTAATTGTGATTTGATGAATAAGATGCGGAAAATAAGAACAAACACAAATAATGAAGATTATGTCGAATGATCACTCGATTTATTCAATAAGAGGAATAAATTACACTTTCAGCATAGACTAAAGAATCTAACACGACATAAGAAACCTCACAACGTGGCGGCTACATTTTGCCTCACTCTTAACCCTAATAATGAATAATACATGACTATTTATAGGGAAAAGACAAGTCTTGGGCTTTTAACCTACACTTCATCAAGGGGCCCATTGTCATCATCCATGGAGTGCTTTGAAACCCTACAACCTCCCCCTCAAAGTATGGAATGGATGACAATGCTTTAACTTCCAAAACAAGCATCTAGCAAATAAAAAGATCTGCAACGAGGAATATATGAAGCAATCCACGAATCTTGATTCTTCAATAGTCTTCAAACACGGGCTCTAGGATATATAAACCAAGCACTGAAGTAATGTCTTTAAACTTCATTTTCGAATGTAATCCCAAAAAAAACTTCATGAAAACCAAACCCGCCATAAAAACCCATTTCAGAACAAAGAAACCGAATCACTTCTTGTCTTTGAAGAGCTCCCCCTCCAAGTCACAATGATCTTCAAATAAGCTAATGATATAATCCATCAAAAAGTATCATGTAACAACCCAAACTTTAAGATTCGTAATGCCACTTGATCGAGAAAATATTAGAAGTCGGAGATATAACAAGTCCTTAGCAGAGCTCGATAAAGAACTTCCGCTGTAAAGGATACTTCTCTGTAAAAGCTTTAGCAGAGCTCGATGAAGAACTTCTACTGTCAAAGCTACCTTCATAATTCTACCACAAGCTTTATAAAAAATCTTCAACTTTGAAAAGTCACAAATCCAATTTCGAATGGCCATACCAAATTCTCCCCCGATTTATAATCGAAAACGTGATTATAAAGCCTTTAAATGGTCATGAGAATGATCTTGAATGGATAAATAATTATCGTGCTCCCCCGTAACAAAATGATATACACAATAAATTATAAAATCCGAAAAAGTCGTGAAAATTTGACATTATCACGAAAAACGACTTTCCGAACCGCCAAGACTTGATGGAATCTTTATTTTTCTGTTCACGAAAAAAAATATGTGCGTTAAAGAATTCAAAACTGTTCACCAGCCCTTAAAATTGCAAACTTTTCGAAAAATGGGCTGAAATTGTCACTTGCTGAAAAACAGGGGCTGGAGTGGTAATTCTGCATCAATATACCCCTTTATTTGTAACAATTTCTGGGATTGGTCCAAAAATATCAAACTGTGAAAACAACAGGGACCAAAAGTGCCAATTCGCTGGAGTTATAGGGACCAAATATGAAACATTAAAGCATCTTCTTCCCCGTTTAGACGCCTGATAAAAGGGATGCAGCAACTGGAACAAATGCGAGACCCCAAAATTAATACCCGCGAATCATACTTTCGTTCCAAGTACTAGGATCGTTTGAGAGATGTGAGATGCGAATCGACCATTCGTTCCAAGTACACCTTAAGGTAATCTCCACAAAAACGAAACCAGGTTTGTTCCAAGCTTCATGAAGCGAATCCGATTCCATCATCTTTCGCTTCAATTCAACAGACCATAAGCGAAATGTGAATCATCAAGCGAAACCAGGT